GGGGGGGTGATAGCAGAGTATCCAGCGTGGGCAGCTCAAGCCTGCCACCTGGTGGTCATACCAGCAAGGCTCGGCAGCCCAGCCCACGGAGGACTGTGTTCTTAGAAATGGCCCAGGAGGGACAGGCCGGATCTGGCGGTCGGAGGGCGGTTGTTCCCCATCTGAACGCCTCCCGGCCTCCCTACAGACTTCAACATCTCAGACCTTTCTGGTGTGCTGTCCCCTGTGCTAACAGAGAGCCTGCTGGTGGCCTTGCCCCCCTGTCACCTCACGGGGGGCAATGCCACGCTGATGGTCCGCCGAGCCAATGACAGCAAAGGTCTGCTACCCGCCCTGGAGACATCCCCTCTGTCCCCCGAGACCCCTTCCCAGAACGCCCCCACCTCCCTTTCCACAGGGGGCACCCGTACCCTAAGTGACAACTTGGGGCCTCCAGAAACTTGACCCTGCCTCTACCCCAATTTCCGGTCCAGTGGTGAAGTCCAGCTTTGTGGTGCCGCCGTGCCGCGGCCGCAGGGAGCTGGTGAGCGTGGTGGACAGTGGGGCCGGCTTCACAGTCACCCGGCTCAGTGCCTACCAGGTGACGAGCCTCGTGCCAGGAACCAAATACTAGTAGGTACCTCACCCACGGGGCCTGAGACGCCTGGGGTGGGGTGGGGGTGACGGCAGGATGTGGACCAGGAGGAGTCGGTGACGGGGCATAAAGAGCAGACAGACACCCGTGGGAGCCGCCAGACGAAGACAGTCCCTCCTACCTGCGGAGTACTGACTCCACTCTCCCTCCGAAAAAGCATCTCCTACCTAGTGAGGAAGGGGGCAGCCACGGAATCCAGCAGAGAGACCCCAATGACCACGCTTCCTCGTACGTAATAGCCCCCACCCCTTTGACTCCTCAGTGCCCACAAAGCCTCTGTGCCCCCTTCTCCCTCTCCAGCCCCTTCTTCCCCACCCCTCCCTCCCCGTCTGGATTGTCATCCCCCCTGCACTCGCCCCACCCCGACTCCTTGCTTCCCCAGCCGCTCCCACTCCTCCATTGGCACTGTGACACCTGGCATTTAACAGGACATTTCCTCATCTGCCTCCCTTCCTAAATGAAGGCTCTTGCGGGCAGGGACAGACTAGGGGCGGGTCCCACGGGCTTCTGCAGTCTCAGAGGCTGCACGGGCGGGCACCGCAACAATGTACATTTGAAGCTCGCTGCCTTGGCTGGGCCGTCCGTGGCTCGATGGCTAGCCGGTGGGACAATGAGTGGGTGGGCCAGCGAGGCTGAGTCTCGGGCCTGGTGGAAAACCACAGGGGCGGTTCTACCCTGCCCTACAGGGTCGCCGTGAGTCCCGAGGGATAGTGGTGAGGCTGGTGGTTTGAGCGAGTTGCCCACCAAGGCCTCTCCTCTCTCTTGGTCTGACAGGAAGGAAGATGGAGTCCATTGGGTTGGGGATGGCCCGGACAGGGGGCATGGTGGTCATCACAGTGCTGCTCTCCGTCGCCATGTTCCTGCTGGTTGTGGGCTTCATCATCGCCCTGGCCCTGGGTGCCCAGAAGTGAAGCGACCTATGCTGAGCTGCGGCCTCTCCAGGAAACCCAGGGCACTGTCCTCTCCCCCAGTCCTGTCAGGCTTTACCTTTAGCTCCTGCTTCCTCTCCTGAGAAGGCTGCCCCTCTCCACCTTCAGTACGCCCCTGTTGATTCTTCCAGTCCCTGCCTCCCTCCCTTCTCCACTGGGACCCTTTCCCACACGCCCTCGGAGCCCCTCACCCCAGTAGCAGAATCCACTCTCCCTCCTTGGCACCATTGGCCACTCCCAGCCCCAACTGATGCCTCTCCCTCCCGGGGAGAACTGAGTCCCTGCAATAAAGCCTGAAGCCTTCCCCGCTGTGTCTGTCCCCCCTACTGTACTGGGCTCCATGTTGTTGCTGCGAGGAGCCCGCGTGGGGTAGTGGTTCTGCCAAGCTGCTCACCACAGGCCAGAGCTCCTCAGGAGAAAGGCGGGCCTTGCCCACCTGTGATGAGGGACAGTCCCTGAAATCACAGGGGCAGCTCTCCTCTGTCTTACAGGGTGGCAGTGAATTGTTTTGGTGTGGACTTATGGGATTCACGTCCAGGCCCGGCTGCAGTCCTCCCTCCTTGCCCCATGATCCCAGAACTGCTTTTGCCATGAGGCGAAAGGGAGTCACAGTTCACAAATGCCTGGGCTGGTACCCCATGTGGGCCGGAGGTGGGGAAGGGGAGCAGTGCGAGGGGCATTCTGGGGGAAGAGACAGGACCACCCAGGTGAGACCCAAGGATGGGGTGCTTGGGGTGGGGGTGGGGGTGGGAGGGAAGAGCAGACTCAAATAGCTCCAGGCTGGAATGCTGGGAGCGGAAGAACTCTGGGTGGGTGGGCTTCCGTCAGGGAAAAGGGCAGGGCGTGAGCCCGACTCACTCTTGCCCTCTCCGATATGCCCCCAGAGGATAGTTCTTACTAGGAGCAGCAAGGACCAGAATCTCTCAGGTGACCTTCAACTGTCCCTTCCACTTTCAGGACATTCTTCCTGTGTCCTGTGTTCTTTCTTGTTTGCACACAAACTAACAAACTCACTGTCATCGAGTTGCCCAGCTCACAGTGGCCCTGCCAGACCAGGGAGAACTGCCCCCGGGGGTTTCAGAGACTGTAGCTTTATGAGAGCCTCGTGTTTCTCCTGCAGAGCAGCTGGTGGCTTTGAACTGCTGACATTGTGGTTAGCAGCCCAGTGTGTCATTACTGCTCCCTGGGTTCCTGCCTTTGTGCGGACGATTCCACACGCCAGGGCTGCTCTTTCAATGACTCACACACAGATGCCAGATGGACCCCTGTTTACATGGTTCTCCATCGTGCTTCTTGGTTCAGCTCAGTGACCCTTCCTGGGGAGGCCCTCACTGACCTTCACTGCTCCCCATTTGGGTGGGCCTCCATCCGGTTTTTCAGAGCACTGCCATCATTTGCAATTCTATGCTGTGGGATTATTCTGTTGTTCTTCCCACTAGACTGACTGCAATTGCTTTGGCCCCACAAACACAACCCTGGGGACACAGCAGGCTCCCAATCAATGCCTGTTGGCGTCATGGACAAACCGAGGAGCGGACGCGGGAACCAAGAAGGCCCTGGATAAACCCAAGGGCCCTGCTCACACCTTCTGCCACAGTTCATAGCTCTTGTCACATCTGGGGGAGAAAGACCGGGCTTACTACTCCTGCAAAGACTGACCGTCTCGGAAACTCACTGGGGCGGGCGCCCCTGACCGACAGGGTCTGCTATGAGTCGGAATCGATTCGATGGCAGTGAGCTTTGGTCACACTCTGTCTTTATTTGCCGGTTCACATTTGTGTGCACGTGTGTGTGGGGTGGGTCTGCGTTTCCCCCTAAATCCCATGTAATTACCAAAAGGGAAGAAGAGTATCTGTCACAGACTGAATTGTGCCTCACAAAAATAGGTGTGGAAGACCCCCCCCCATACAATGGAGCCTGGTGGCGCAGTACACTAAGTGCTGGGCTGCGGACTTCACGGTTGGCAGTTCGAATCCCCATCCCCTCCCTAGCCCCGGGGGCGCAGAAGAATGAGGCTGTCAGCGCCTGGGAAGAAAGAGGGACTGAGAGCGTGGCAAACATTCCGGGGAAGTGATCAGAAAAGATGCTGGCTGGTTCTGATGGCCGCTGGAGAGCGAGCCAACGGAAGTGGCCAGTGTGGACTCACAGACACCGAGCACGGAGGACGCATTGGCCGTGACGGACGGGGCCAGGGATAAGCTGTGACAAAGACGCTGGCCCGGTTTGCTGGTGCTGCTGTAACAAACCCCACAAGGAGGCACCTTTGGTGAACAGCTTCACTTCCTCGCCGTCTAGGGGCCACGAGTCCACATTCCGGGTGCCAGCTCTACGAAAGGGTTTTTCCTGGCCCCTATTCCCTGGGGGAATTCTTGATTTGGCTTCTTCGCCCGGCATGCCTCACTTCCGGTGATAGCCAGGTGGCGTCTCTCCCTTCCCCCATGTATGCTTCTTGGCCTCTATGCCTACTCGGTTCTCCTCATGTCTCACCATGCCACCAGCCCCGTGACAAAGGAAACTCTGTTCCCAAATGGAATTCTGTCCAAAGGAACAAGGGTCAAACCCGAGTCCACTGCCATCACATGCATTCTGACTCATGGGAGCCCTTTAGGACAGACTACAACTGCTCCCTATGGAGTTTCCAGGGACAGACAGTCTCACCTTTCTCCCACAGCGGCTGGTGGATTTGACCAGTCAACCTTGAGGTCCTCCCCGCATCCCCACAATAAGCAAATAAACCAAATACAGAATGTGGTTCGTGCTATGAATAGTGGCAAACCGGATGAGCACTGAGGCCCTTCCATTTGGGGAGGCCGAACGGAGCGGAAGGAGCCCAGGTGGCGTCGTTGTTGTACCTGGGCTGCTAACTCTAAGGGCCCAGCTGCCCTGAGAGAGAGAGATGGAGCCCACAGGGGCAGGTCTACCCTGTCCTGTAGGGTCGCCATGAGCTGGCACCGACTTCATGGCGGTGAGTTTGTGCTTTGTAGAAGTGCCGTGAGGTCTGTAGGCTTGAGAGACAGGCAGGGTGCCCACACCCTGCAGAGGGAAGGGACTGGCCTAGGCTTCCCATCCTCATTGCATTGCCCACGGAGGTTGGAATCCAACCTTCTGGGGAGTCAGGAAGAACATGGGACCGAGAAGCAGGCTTTGCCCCGCATTAAAATCAGCCAGAGAGCTTTAAACTAACTCGCTACCCTGGGTCCTCCTCCAGCCAGACTCAGGCATTAGTCGCTTTTCAAGATTCCCAAGAGATCCCAACGTGCATCAAAATTTAGGAATTACAGACAAAACATTTTAAATTGGTAAAGTCATTGTGAAAGGTCCACAAAAGGGTGGGAGCATTTCTGAAAGTAATATTAATGAAATAAAAACAAAATGTCATAAGAAAAATGATTAGAAGAATATCTAACCAAGTATAAGCAAGTTAATTATAGAAGGAAAGCAGTGGATGGTCCAATTTACATGAACAATTTAGAATAGGCAAATGCATCGAGACTGAGAGTATTAGTCCTTACCAGGGCTGGAAGGGAGGCAGGAAGGGGACTCTTGGCTTGGAGGACTCGGGATTTCTGCTAAGGGTCATGGACGTGAGAGGGAAATCACTGGAGGCTCACTCCCTGTGTAGATCTGGCAAATGTCTTTGGAGCTTCCACTGACATCCATAACCTTCCGCACACCAGAATCTCACCATTTCAACTCCGATACTATTCCTTCCTTCGAATTTGGGTTATATAATTTACAATCCTTGGATCCCAGATATTGGTACTTCTTCCATCTGGGCTTAGTTGAAGTCTCACTTAGATGGCTACTTGTTTGAAAATAAATGTTTAAGACCCTGATACTATCCCAATTGATAGCCAGGTGCCATCTGATTGCTTTAACACACTTTTCTGTAGTCCCCTTACCTTCAGTGATC